TATTATACTACAACGAGACTAGGTTACTTGCTCCTTGTTTAATCGTTGTTCTTGAATGAAGGTGAAAGGCTGGCCCTGCTTCTGTCATCAGCGAGGTGTCTGAATTTTTTTATTTTTTTTTAACTTAGCCATATCATACTTTCCACTGATCCCTATTAATCCCTGCTCTTTTGTATTCCAAATTGACCATCCAAATAATCTTCTTATAATTCACTTAAAAGAGCAGGTAATTTCATTGAGTAAGAATAATCATTAATTTAGTTTAGAGACCTAGCTATTAATTTTACACTTCTGATGAGAACTGAACTGATGGTAAAAACTTGCATTTCTTCAGCTTTTCAAGTTGCTTGATAGTTTTAAACCTTTAAGCCTTACATATTTTCAATTTTGTTTTTGAGCTGAAGAAAATAAAGTGTGAAATATAATAGAATACTAACCTGGAGCAGCTGATTTTGAACCTTCTGAGCTATGAGATACAGCCATTCGTTCCTTCCTCGACCGGAGATCTTCTAACAGCTTCTGTGCAAAATCTGATCTCTTAGCCATGTTGTTCCTCAATGTTGCCTCCCCCAGACTCTTCAGGTAGAAAAATGAAAGAGTCTGTTTACATTGTTGTGATTTTTTTTTTAATGTACACTGAAGAGGATGTTCCTTTTTCTAGTTGAGAGGACTCTATCGGAGTTGGGTGAGGTGGGAAGTCCAGTAGAAAGCAATAGAATGGAGTTTTGAATCTTTAACCTGAAAGTGTGGCGTTAACGCTGCCCCCCCTCCCACCACCCCCCCCCCCCCCCCGCCCGGGCGCCGTAGTCTCCTAACTTTGATTGTAATCCAAGAAATGGCAATTGTTTTCTTCCAAGCATTCTGCGGCTACCATCTATGCTTCCTTTTCCCTTTTTTTTTACGCTTGTTGCTTGAAGATTGCACAAGTTATATTTTGATTTATTCATTATGATTCCTGCCTATTAAAGAGTAAATAGATGCTATTGTGTACCCAATATATACCCATCATATATGTGCTTTAGGTTTAAAGCAGGTGGGGTGTATAAAAGTTGAATGGGAGCATGGCCATAGCTAGCACATGGCAAGGCTTTCACATTCATGAAAGTGGCATCTTCGATTTTGAGTGACTTGGAATGTATTTTCTTTTCAGGAATTATGCACAGTGTAGACTATATCTCTGCAAATTGCTTTTTCACGGGGCAACATATAAGTGGGTGGATCCACAGAAATATAAAGTTTTGGAGTTTGAGTACCACGAGCTTACAGGTTTGCTTCCTCCAAAATTAAATCCTTTGAGATCATGGGTTGCAGAGCTCAACTCTGCTTAAAAGCTATAGAACTCGTAAACTAACTCAATTGCATTTAAAAAAAAAAACATAAAAATATTTGCATCTATACCTTGCAAGGAGTTGGAGTAGAGGAGGTGTCATGGAGATCAAATCAAACATTCACAGGACGGAGATCACACGACAACCCAATTTGGTAAATCCGTCGTCTTACAGCTAAATTGGTCCCTTAGGCTTGTATCAATTACGTTCATGTATGAAAGTCATGGCTATACAATGGGACAAAAGATAATGGAGAAATAATCTGTTTGTATGCATAAAACGCCTAAAAGCCACAAAAATAAAAATAGAGAAATTCATAATAAAAGAATATTTTGAATGAGTGATGTACATGTGGTTTTGAATGAGGTGTCCTACATAAGATAATTATCTTGTAAAGCCACCGCATTAGGGGAAGGAGAACCAGCCCATGACAGAAGGAATAGTGCTGTCTTTCTATTAAATAAAGTTTCATGGCACAGATCTAATGTCGCATTTTGGTTAATGTTATAGAAAAAAAAAGATAAATAAATGTATATGGATGAAGAAATAATTTCAGACACATTAAGTAAATATGTTTATAAAGGTATTTTAAAATAAATATGCATGCTTGGAGAACATGAAATATAAAAGCTATCATCTTTGTCCTTATTATCGTCATCGTCTTTTTGTTTCTAACCATCTAAATCATAAAACATAATACTTATTTATTTTTAAATTTATTCAAATTAATTATTATTTTATTAAATAAAAAAATATTTGATTTTGACTTATCAAATCAACACTACATCTATAAGAAGGTTAAAAATGCAATTTCAATCCAACCTATAATCCCTATAAATTAGTTATAAATTAGTTATTATTACTATAAAAATATTAAGCCCAATAACTAGATAAATGCATCATATTTTCTTTTCTAATATGAATAATTCTCATTAGTTGCAGGATCTTCAAGAATCCTTTTCAAGTTGGAGTTTATGTTAATGAAGCCCAACTACATGTCCATTGATACGATCAAAAAATTAATATCTTCTTCTAAGTGCAGGAGTGTCGAAGTAATAAATAAC